TCTAATTACTTTACTTGCTTATAAATATTTTTTTTAAAGAATTGTAAGAACAGTAAGAACTTCTTAGAAAAGAACCTGGAAGCTTAGATTTCAATTCTAATATCTAATTGCTATAGTGTGATTCTCATTCTTTTTGAGGGGGCAAGGGAGACTGATGCCTCTACAGCCACATGGAGTAATAATGAAATTTGTACTCATTCTCTGACTTCATTCCAGGATGGGGGGCAGTTTTCCAGAACTTCCTTCTTGATCTTAGCAAAATCTGGTACAATTTCTGACATGAAAACATGTGCAGTCTATTATCTCTAGGACCCAAGGCAAGAGATGGTTTATATTTCACATATTTACATCTAACTGAGCATTTTTGCCTCAGTATAAAATATATACATATTTTTGAGTTTCAGCTGAAGAGCTTATTTTATAAATGAGGTAAAAACAAGATATCACTCTGACACTAGCAGTAATTACCAAAAAGATAAATATTTTTAAGTCAGAACCATTCTGGAAAGTTTTATGAAACAAAAACATATTTGAATGTTTATGGCCATATCTCCTTTTGCATGTCAGGTATGATTGCCTGATTTATATGGAATGGAAGTACATATTGATGATTCTTCTTCAAATGAAGTCAGACCTAATGTTGTCAAATGTAGTCATTCTGTTGTCCTGTGCTGATGAATATGTTTGTTCACTAATGTCCAGCTTTTAGAGTGAAAACAGTGGATGGTAAGAGTCTATAAAAATATACCTTTTTGGGCCGGGGATTTAGCTCAGTGGTTCTGGCACCTGCCTGGCAAGCGCAAGGTCCTGAGTTTGATCCCCGGTACCAAAAATAAAATAAAATAAAAATACACCTTTTCTTTTTTATTATTAATGATTGCATTGACAGATCATAATTGTATACATATAATGTTACAATGTGAAGTTTCAATGTATGGATCCAATATGTAATAATTAAATCTAGCTCAGTAACATATCTATCACTTCAATTACCTATCATTTTTATAGTAAGACATTTGAAATTTACTCTTAGTTGTTTTGAAATATACAGTATATTATTTGAATTTACAATAGTCATTTTGTTGTGCACATGATCTCAAAATCTTTTCTTCATTCATGTCTGATACTTATACCCTTTGATCAACATCTCCCCATTTCCTCCTTCCCCATCCAGCCATCCTTGGCAACCACCATTCTACTCTCCACCTCAGTGAGTTCAACATTTTAAATTCCACAGAGAAGTGAGATCATGCAGCTTTTGTCTTCCTGTGCTTGGTTTAAAATACCCTCCTTCACTGCCTCTTGAGATGCTTTATGTTTTCTTTTTTTCTGTCCTTCTTTTGGCACACCCAACTTCATCTACAGTGTGGAGGAGGAAAGGTGAGAGAGAGAGAGACATGGATGGAGTAGAGGTGAGTGTTTAAAAGTATAATCCCTTTCTGCCAATTATCTACAAATATCCAACAGAACTAAAATCCTTGAGGAAAATATTTCTAAAAGAATAAGGAACATGAACTACTAGAAAGGATAATTTCAAAGAAATTGGGACAAAACTATAAAAAGAAATATGATTCAAAACATTCTTTGAGAGCATTGTACAGAAGACAATTCTCCAGATACGGTAAAGGTTAGAAATATTTTTAATATCTTTGAGGACAGGATTTTCTAAGGTAGAAAATTCTTGATTATGTACATCGGTTTTTTAATGAGTAAAAATTGTATGTATTTATGGTGTGCAATGTGATGTTTTGACATAGCCATACATTGTAGAATGGCTAAATCAAAGTACTTACCATATGCATTACCTCACATTTCAACAATTAAAATGTACTCTCAGAAATATTCAAGCATTTTTACTAACTGTAGTCCCCTTGAACTTATTCCTTTGAACTTATTCTCTCTGTCTAACTGAAGTTTTGTGTCCTTCAACCATCTACTTAATACCCCCCATCTCCAGCCTCTGATAATCACCATTTTATTCTATGTTTTATGAGTTCAGCTTTTTTTGCAATCCACACGGTAACAAACGTTGGTGAAGATGTGGAGGAAATTCTTGCATATTCCTTATGGAAAACAGTAAGGAACTTCTTCAAAATTCATGATCATATGATCCAGCAATCCTGCTACTGGGTATATATAGCCAAAGAAAATGAAATTAGTGAGTCAAAGAGACATCTGCACTTTTATATTAATTGCAGTATAACTCCCAATAGCCAAAATATATACATTACATTTTGAGAGACAATAAATTATCTAGAGTATACCTTGCTGCAAGGGGAGAAAACAAGAGTTAGGGAACTTTAATTATCAACTTGATTGTCTTCTATAGAACATACTACTTGGATTATGCTGAGTTTACTACTTTAAAGACTAAGAAGAACAGACACAAGAAATCTAGAACTGATCAAATGTAAAGTACTCTGTAGAGACAAACACAAAGTTCATAATCCACAGGGTTTTCCACAACTCGGAGGAGCAAAAGGTAATTACTAACTTCCTCATATTCAGAAAAGCTATTAAAAAGAAAGAAAATATACTATTTCAATATCTAACTTTTATTTCCTTGGATTATGCTCTGAATGCCTTTCTTGTGTCTATCATTTATTTAGTACCTTAACTCATCATCTCTTGAGTTTTTTACTTTAATATAATTTTCTGTTTAATGAACATATTTCATTTCTAGAATTTATATTTGGTTCTTTGAAAAAACAACCTACATTTTTTCAGTATGTGTTTTTCTTATGAATTCTATTCATTTTTGTCATCACTGATCATTCTTTAAACACGTATTTTTATATCTTTTAGATAGCTATACTATCAATAGTTTAATTTATCTAATTGAATTATTCCATTGTTTGCCTCACCTGACTTTTTTTTTTTTTTGATACCGGGGATCGAACTCCGGTCTTTGCGCTTGCGTAGCAGGCGGCAAAACCACTGAGCTAAATCCCTGGCCCAAAATTTGAATTTTTTTTTTTTTTTTTGTACTGGGGATCAAACTCGGGTCCTTGCGCTTGCGAGGCAGGCCACGGAACCACTGAGCTAAATCTCCAGCCCTAACTCCTTTTTTCCTTTTTGTACTGGGGATTGAAGTCAGGACCTTGCACTTGCAAGGCAGTCACGGCATGGTGCCGCTGAGTTAAAACCCCAGCTCTGCCTCATCCAACTCTTACACAGTGAGTTTCTGCTTGCACTTTGTAATTTTGGTCTCTGAACTCATCTTCAGAGAGAGTAATTTCCCATCAATAAACTATTACTCCCTGATCTGTGGAGATTCCTTTTGGAGTGATTTTTTTTATACAAGTTTTATTGATTCTAAGGCAGTTTTGCCTTAGTCTTGTGTTTGTTGATTGCTTGGCTTTGCATATTCAGGTCCAAGAGCAGCCCAGATACAGGCTTCTAATTTCCACAAGAGACTTTCCATTCATGGCTCAGAGAACACAGACTGTTTCCATGGCACATCCTTATGCTATAGCTCAGAATTGTCTCTGGAGTAGACTTTTATAGTTCCCTTCATGAACTGTGTACACTATCTCCAGATATATT